TTATGCCATTTTTAACGGATTCTTGAATAAAATCTTAGTACAAAGAGGGGGGAAAGCCTTTTTGTAATGCATTTAAGATTCTCCCCATCAAGCGACTTTCTGACTTTGCCTTAACAGACAGATTGGAGAGGAAACGAATACATATTTATATACTCTGAAATAGTACCAGATTTGAGGCACAGAAGGCAAACTTGGGGAAGATAGAATCCCTCATTCTGTCTCTGTAGATTTCTTTATGTCAGGTCATCATTCTCTCAGAGGCTCTGAACTGGAATATATTTATTTTGCATTGTATTGTTTCTATTTCCTCCACTTACTCCAGGAGCTTTGCATGGAGAAACAGGTTAGATCAGCGATGGTGAACCTTTTTTGGCTCGCGTACCATAAGCGGAGGGAGCACAAGGGGGTTGTGTGTGGGCATGCCGCACCCATAATGCAATGCGCGACCCTCCCAGTGCGCATGCGTGCACGACAGGCACGACCCCCCCATTTTTGCATGCTTTTTTCACCCTTCCCAGGCTCCAGAGGCTTTATAGGAGCCTGGGGAGGGCGAAAACAGCCCCCCGGAAGCCCTCCGGAGGCTTCAGCGACCTTCAGGAGGCTTCCCTGAAGCCTCCGGAGCAGTCAAAATGACCCTCCGAGCAAACAGGAAGTCCGTTCCTGAACTTCCAGTTTGCCCGTAGGGCCAGTTTTTTGCGCTTTGGAGGCTTCAGAGAAGCTCATGAAGCCTCCGGAGGGCCTCCGGGGGGCAGGGGGGACAAGGGAAGTTCGCCCTCCCCAGGCTCCTATAAAGCCTCTGGAGCCTGGGGAGGGCAAAAAAATGGCTTTAAAAAAGGGTGAACTCAGCTGGCCAGCGGGCGCATACGTGCTGGCCAGCTGACAGGGCAGCGCCTCGTGTGCCCTGACAAATGGCTCCACGTGCCACCTGTGGTACGCATGCCATTGGTTCGCCATCACGGGGTTAGATTGTGCTAAATAGTCACCAGTAAGAGCTAACTTTGATCCAATATATTACTGTGTGTGCACATTACTCAAAAATGTGATGGACCCTGGATCTTGTTGAATGTGATTTGTGAATGCAGCTACTGTCATTTTGCAAACCAGGAGTCATAACTTAATGTTACCCATGACACCTGACTTGTTTGAAACATGATTAAATAATACCCATTTGCCATAATTCTTTGCCAGCCATGATCAGTACTTTTGTTAAATCATAATCAACTGCCTATAGGTTGCTTATCACAAAAAAATGGATTTTGGGCATATGTATATTAGTCAGGTGAATCTAAACAACTTAAATAGAAGTATACTATACATGGCAAACAGAAATTAAAATCTTTATTTAATAACCCAGAAACCTTAAACTTCATAAAATTAAGATAAATTTTACCCTGTGCTTGCCAGATACGTCCTCATGACATCCTTAATTCTCTATTTATGGCTGGTGAATATTAGTTACGCTGCCAATTTTTGATGATCTACTGCTTAAGCAATTTCTTTCATTGTTAATTAAATCCATTTTTATTTCCTGAGTAATACCTGAAGTCAGTGGAAATTGATAAAGATTTCTGTCATGGAACTGTTTGATAGCCATAAACTAATGTTACAAAATTATTCTGGGCAGTTTAATATTTTTTATAGTACTGGTTGAGATGTCAAAGTAGTTCTGCCTTTCTTGGCTAAGGGTGTGTTTTATCTAGAATAATGAAAATATAAATGATTCCCCCCACCTTCAAAGTCTGCATCTTGCCTATTACTTAAATACGATAAGCCATTTAAAATTGTAGGATACTGATTATAGCGATAACAAAGTTAAGAAAAAAATGTTACGTCATATTTAGTGACTGAAAGGACAGGGTTTTTTTTAATCCCAATGAAGTTTGGGGAGAATCTACCTTATCTATATTTTTCTCATCAGAATTATTATTCTACGTGTTCACATTTAAACACTGCTGTGTATAAAATAACTACCCAAATATGTCTATACTTATAGATTCCTTTCTTTAAATTTAGAGAAGCTGGAGGTTGCACCACCATCCACTGGACAACTGAAACACGGTAAATGCTTATGTCTATTTTGTATTTTTTTTAAAAAAAAAACCAGATATTTCCAAGGGCTTGAAAGCCTCCAATAACTGCAGTGTTGCCACTCTTAGTATTTGGCTGTTAGTTTTCACATTTTTGGGGGACGGATGGACACTATTAGCCATGCTATTTTAGGCTCTACAACAGAGGTCTGTTCTGATGAGGATCTTTTGAATTCTTCCTCATATCTCTCTCCCAGTTACAGATCGGCTAAAATCACTTGTTTAGCTGTGTCCAGAGCAATTCCACCAGTGGCTGTCACTGATTCCTCTATGTATGTGCTGTTTCTCCCCCTGCGTCACCCTACTGCAGATGGAATTATCTAGAAAGTACTCAGAATGGATCTGGTCTTTCAGAGATAGTTACTTTGGTGTTGGTGATCGCTGCATACAAATTGCTGGTGGTTAGTGGTATTCAAGAGAGTAGGAAAAAGCCCCTTTTTGTTTTGGTT